CCAATATACCTGACATCAGAATCAACAATCATCAAATACATGGCCAATCCGGTTCCATTTATACCCATACCTACCCCCAGCTCTGCCACTGAAATAATAAAAACAAATCCTAGATATCATACCATTTCATTTTTAAATATTTCAGTACCTATTTCTAAAATATAAGCAGCATAAACCAATTACACAAATCTCACCTTAAAAATTAACTCCTCAGTGTAATCAAACCTCCAGTTATTTTTCACATTTGCCTGAGATTTTCAAAAATGTTTTTTTCCTTGAATTAGGGTCAAACAAAGTCTATTCATTGTCATTGCTTTTTATGTCAAATAATTTATATATCCTATCCCCCACCCCCAAAGTATATACATTACCTCTTTTTCCTTGTCATTTTTTCGTTAAAAAAACACACGTGCATCTTATGTTCCGTCCAGTTTCATATGGCCTGGATTTTGCTGATTGCAACACTGATGTCCTTCTCCCCCTGTATTTCTTTAAATCAGTAGAAGTTTGATCAGCTTAAGGTTTAACTTTTTTCTTTCTTTCTTTTTTTTTTTTTTTTGGAAAGACCACTTTATAGGTGATATTGTGAACTTTTATTACTAGGAACCTAATACCGGTCTCCCTTTGTGTTGAATTTTGCAATCTTTGAAGATTAGAATAGTTATCTATTAACTGAGGTTATACAATGTTAATTTTCTATTTCTATCATTCCTTCTGAATTTATTAGATGAATTATATCTTTATGTAGAAACCTGTCCTTGTCCACCATTTGGTAATGATATTTATCATGTTCTTCTATAATATTTAAATCTTTCTGTGTCTATATTTTGTACAAAATTATTTAACTAATATCACTCACTTCTGTTCCTTTCATTTGTAATTGATGATACCTATAAAACTGTCAATTACATCAATTTTTTCAAAGAATAGGCTTTTGTTAGCTGGCTCCATTGTCTTCTAATTCATCATTTCTGCATTTTTCTTCATTATTTCCTGTGTTCTATTTCTTTAGGTTTAATGTGATATTCTTTCCCCAGTTTCTTGAAATTGTTACATATTTTAAATATTTTTTGTCCTTTGGAATTTTAATTTCAATAACTATATTTTTATTTCTAGATATTATTTTAGTTCTTTTTCAAATTAGCCTGTAATTTTTCCCAAGTTCTTGTTCTTATGGTCTTTCTGCTTTCTTCTCTTTTAAATGGATTTTTAAAATTGAGATATAATTGATATATAACAATATATTAGTTTCAGGTGTACAACATAATGATTCAATATTTTTATATTTTGTGAAATGATCACCACAATAAGTCTAGTTAACATCCATCACCACACATAGTTACAATTATTTTACTTGTGATGAGAACTTTTAAGATCTACCCTCTTAATAACTTTCAAATACATAATAGAGTACTATTAACTATAGTCACCATGCTGTGTATTACATCCTCAGGATTTATTTATT